TTTTTTTTTTGAGACAGAGTCTTGCTCTGTCACCAGGCTGGAGTGCAGTGGCACAATGTCGGCTTATTGCAACCTCCACCTCCTGGGTTCAAGCGATTCTTCCACCTCAGCCTCCTGAGTAGCTGGGACCACAGGCACGTGCCACCACGCCTGGCTAATTCTTTTATTTTTAGTAGAGGCAGGGTTTCACCGTGGTTAGATGGTCTCAATCTCTTGACCTCATGATCCGCCCACCTCAGCCTCCCAAAGTGCTGGGATTACAGGTATGAGCCACTGTGCCTAGCCAGAAGCTGCATTCTTTAAGAAAATCTACAAAACAAAAAAGAAAAAAAAAACAAAAGAAAATCTACAATGAAGTAGATTTTATCCCAGGCTGGGATACCATATTTGATTGGCAACAGCTGAGAGAAGGGTAAACTACAGCTCAACTCGTGGGTTCTCATCCTGGCTGATGGGAATCACTTGAAGAGCTTAATAAACGTCACTATCTGGGTTCCACCACAGAGCTCGAGTTGATACGGCATTACAAGTTGCAAAAGCTTGCTAGGTGATGCTAAACTAACGTGTAACAAAAACTTCTGAAAGCTTTATTTAGCATTCCTAAGAATCACATGCAGAGCTTGTTAAAAGAGATTACTGGGTTCCACCCTCAGAGGTATTAATTAAGTAGATCTGGGATGGGGCACCAGAATCTGCGCAGGTGATGCTCAAGCTACATGTTAAGTAGCACTGCCCTGGATCACTTCTATCACGAAGCCACAGAACCCAAGAGAACTCAGGTTGAACAAAGCCCAGCAATGGAGCTCCCTTCGGCCAACAGTAACTGTTCTCATCTCTTGGTTTCACTTTTCCTCTGTGGCCTTAACTTCTCCTACACCTCACCTTCCATGCAGCTTAGTGGGCAGCCTCAGTCCTAGCTGTGACAGCCTCATATCCACACATCAATCCTGGCTTTGCTCAGCCCACGTGTTCATTCTCGAACCAATCCCTGGAGAGAGATGAATAACCTGGCCAGCCTGACGAATGTGCCCATCTTTGTGAAAGGAGTGTAAGCCACAGTGCATAAAGCATGAAAAGAAGATACTCGCCCTGTCAGTTTTGTATATTTAACAATTACTGCTACAGAGAATTTATTCCTTCATTTCCATTTTCCAAATTTTATTCCAAAAAAAGGGGATGTGTGTGGAAGGTTAAGATGTCCACAGAAAGTAACCCTCATCATTACAATAAAGTATTCAATTGAACAGAAATGACAAGGACCCAATTCAGTATGTAATGTCCTATTTTCCCACTGCACCAGTTTAAAAAAAGTCAAAGCCTTCTTAGTGTGGAAGAGTAGGTCAGCTTTCACACTGAAACGGTGCCCCAAATGGTAACCGAATCTCTGATTGTGTCTATTTATCCTTTTCTTTCTGTTCTTTTTCTTTCTTCTCACGCTCAGCTTTAGCTTCTTCTTCCTCATGTTTTTTGATCAACTGTTCCACTTCTTTTTGTTTGAGAACTCTGATTACCGTCTTTCCATTCTCTCTTGTTAGTGTTGCAATTTCCACTAAAAACAAACACATATGTTTATTTGTATTGCAGGCAGGCAGGCAGACTTAGCAGAGAAACTTAACAGGCACTCAGGGTTTCTGCTCATCACATCATTTAAACCTTAGTTCAGCACTCTCCTATGTTTTATGCTTAATATTATTATTCCCTTTTATGAGAACAAAACACCCTTGATCTTGCAATGTTTTAATTACAATTTTTACTTAAATAGCTTCACCTCGCCCATCACAACTTTCTTAGCACCCATTTTGTCACTCCCTTAGAAAAAGTATAATTGACCAATTGCTATTGCTGGCCTGCTATTAGCTGGGCCTGATCAGAAGGAACCACAATTTCAGTCACAATCTTCAACTGGTAATAACGATTATTTTTTATGGACTTTGCAAGTCTTTTTAAAAAAACGGCTGGGCGCAGTGGCTCACACCTGTAATCCCAGCACTTTGGGAGGCCGAGGAGGGCAGATCATGAGGTCAGGAGATTGAGACCATTCTGGCTAACATGGTGAAACTCCATCTCTACTAAAAATAC